GGAGGGGCCAGTCTCTTCCTCCTTACTTTCACACAGTCCAGCTGGGGGCTGAGGAGATGCTTGGAATGTCACTCCCCGCTTCCATCACAGGCCCCTAGGCAAGGTTCTTTATATGCCCAGTAGGGAGATGGAGCTCAGATTGCCTTAATGCAAGTCATTCTGAATTGGCTTGGTTGGGTAATTTGGAGCAAAGTCTTTGTGCAGGATCATCCTAGGGCTTGGCGTTCAGTATAATACCAGTGGCTGCCAAGAGAAGCAGAAAGGAGGCACTAGCAGCAGTTGAGATAATACGCAGACTGAGTTTAAACAACATACTATGCCAAAATGTGGTTTGTTTATAATTGCTTGAATATATGCCCTTCTATCCTTGCATCTCCTTTTCCTATCTCTGTTCACATCTTTTATCATTGTGCCTGGTCTCAATTTACTTTGTAAGCTCTTCAGAGCAGAGCTTCCTTCTGCTCAATATAAGTACTTAAGACCAGTGTTTCTCAACCTTGGCCACTTTTAAGAGGGGTGGATTTCAACTCCCAGAAATCCCCAGCCAGCCAGTTGAAGTCCACCCCTCTTAAAAGTGGCCAAGGTTGAGAAACACTGCAATAGACTTATTGAGATGTTATATAAAATCAACCTAGCACAAGACCCTTAACAAATAAAAGCAGATTTATAGAGGTTTTGCAAAATGTGGGTTTCATAAGCTACTGAGTTAAAAGGGTATTAAAACAACAAACAGATTATGCTTAGCGCAAATGCTATTAATATTCTCACTAAGCACCTCTAGCATATTCATCTTAGGAAAGAGAAAAAGATAACTTGGATTTCCTGACAAACTCTTTTGAAAAAACACCCCAATGTCAAATTCAGCCCTTACCTCAGCATGACTGGTCATCCAGTGCTCCCCACAAGAGTATTGAATGAACAAGTTTACCCTCAGACTTGGCTCTTTCAAAAGCCTGGGTGAAGGGAAAGTAGGAAACCTGAAAACAAAAGGAGGAACTGAATGTACCCGTAATTTGGGACATCTGGCTCATGTATTAGTTGTTACAAATGCTAAAACGTTAAATGTTCTGTTCTTTAAAGTATATTCGAAATATAGACATATAGAATGCTCCTGATTGGCCACAGTGCCCTCTATAATGCACAACTGTGGGAAAAAAGGAGTTTCCTCACCTAATGCAGTAGGTGCCCCCAAGCTACAGCATATCTTAGATAAGTCACATCACCTCTGTCATATGAGCACTTTCTGAGCAAGTGTTTTAAGGCTAAACTGTTTTGTGATGTTCCTCCTCCAGTCAGGGCTGTGACAAAAATCACTTCTCCAAAGCTGTTAATGCTTATTTGCATTTCAGAGGGAGCTTCCTTTGAACAATGAATCTTCAGCATCTTCAGGGAGGAGACTTTTTTTCCCCACGACCACAGGCAAGAGAAAGAGCCCCTGAGGTTACATAGGGTTCACTTGCTCTGCTATTTAAAGGTAAACATACCTTTGAATCAAACTCAACTCCTAGGAACATTCACAGTGTTTTCTTGGCAGCAGTGCACAACTGGTTTTATCAGTGCCCTTTTCTGGGATCTTTTTCAACTTCCCATCTTAGCCTACAACCTGGCATTTTCCAGTGGTTTCCTGTTTAGATACTAACTAGTCCCAATCCTGCTTCTCAATGCAGACAAGGCAGGTTAGATGTTGAGAAGACTGCTATTTACATAACTGCTCAGATACCAATTATATTCTCACAATCAATATTAAACAGAAAGTCATATATTTCAAGTTAAGAGATCTGGCATTACACACAAACCTGTAAGTTGGCCAATCTTGCTATGTAAGCTTTCTTAAAGGAAACCTGGTCTTCTTAAAACAAGCATGCAAAAAACATGCCCTCTAGGCTCCTATTATTTTCTTTGCAACCCTCAGGACTCCTCTTGGGTGGGTGGGGCCAAAACTGGCAGCCTTTTTGGTGTGCTTGGGGGGTTGGGGTGTGTGTTAAAGGGTAAAAAGGGTACCTAAGCCTTGCAGAGACTTACAGTGTCCATTTCACCCTTTACAAATCCCAACTGCACCCCAAAATCAGGTCCTGGCCCTCCCACTTTTGAACTGCTCCATCAATATGGCACAAAGCATGATGCAGCCCTTGAGCCAAAAGTACTTGCGTTCCCTCGTCTTAAGAGCCAACCACACACAAGTGCCTTAAAATGACTCAATTTTTCAAGTTCTCCCTGCTTTGATTTTAACTTCTTTTTCTCCTGGGCTTTTTCTAGCTCAGTGGAGGGACAGCTCTGTCTGTTACAAGAACTGGGTAATATTTAATACTTCAGGATATAAATTCACTCTTTGTTTCAAGTTCCTCAGTTACACACAGCCTTTGTGTTCCCTGCTGATAAGAAGCTCCTAGAAATATTTCTATCGCTTGCCTCTTTCAAAATGGCATCAGGGACTTAGGATAAGGGGAAGGAGGGATATGCAGCCATTAAAGCTCCAGCTGTACTAAGAGATCCCGATTCCACTGGGACTTCAACCAGTCTTTCCAAGCATGTAACAAAAAATGCACTATGTGTTTATTTGACATATCTGAGTTTTGGATAAAACAGCTGCTTGCTTTGTTAGCAGGTTATCAAACTGCAAAGCTAAGTCACTCTCACAATGGCATGCATAGGTGTATTACTTTAATTGTTCCTCCCTGGAGCATCAGCATAATTATTTAATCATGTTTAAGGGGATGTCAGGCTCTTTTCATACTTTCTTAAATGGATACATGATCACTTCCAGTTTCCCAGATGCTTCTTCCCAGCTTATTTCTCTCTGCCAGGAAATCTCTTCAAATATAAACTGAATTGGTTCTCCTTCTCTGCTGTCAATCACGTTCCCATTTTCATCATGAATCACTGAAGGGGTAGATGGTCCCAGAGACTCCAACTCCATCTGCAAAACAACAAGGAATAAGACACTTTTGGGATACCAAACCCGACAACGTTAAAAAGAATTTTCCACAAAAGCTGTGCTATACATTTTCTCCTCTCCTAGAACAGTGTCTCCCACCATCATTCTCTAGATATGTTGGACCTCAACTTCCATGATCCCCAACCAAAGCCCAGGCTGGGTGGAATATTATGGGAGTTAAAATCCAACACATAAGGTGGTATTAGGTTGGAGAAGGCTGGGATGGTTCTTGGTCCAATGAAAAAGATTTTGGTTGCATTTGTCTATCACCTCACCTGGAAGCTTGTTCCAATGAAGCTGATTTTATTCTGAGCTTTTACTTAATTTACATAGCATCCCATCTCCACAAGAGATGACAAAGAAAGCATTATAACAAGGTAAGTGCAGTACAATAATGGTGAAGTGACAAAAAAACCCCAAACTATTTGTCAAGTGAATAAACAATCCAGCATTGATAATAATGTTCCTCTGTGTCCCAGCTGTGAAGGAGGCCTGGTTAATGGAGACAACAGAAAGGGTCTTTTGATGGCTGCATCTAAACTGTAAAACTCCCTGCCTCTGACAGCCTTTTAGTGGTTGGTGAAGACCTTTATATTTAGAGAAGCATTTACATAAACCTTACTTAATGTTTCATTTTAGCTCTATATCTACCTGCTTTTACCCTCTGTCTTTATATTTGCAACTGTACTTGAGAATTGTCATAATTACAACTTTCGTTCCATCTCAAGAGGCTACTGCATTTAGTGAGCACGTGCAGCACAGATGGGAAGCAAAAGCAGACCAGCAATTCTAAACCATTAATGGTTTAGAACCGAGTACATTTGGAAGCTCAGAACGTGGGTTGGTTGAATTAAGCTAGGAAATTAACCTGCCTCTCTATATGAAACCAGTGGGAGAGGACATCCCTCAGTATGGAATGAGGCATCATCACCCTGCTGATGACACTCACTTTTATATCCCCACTCCAGGCTGGATTGGAAATGCTATGGAGATCCTTATCTGGCATCTGGAGACTGCAAGGGACTGGTTGGAACAAAATAAACTGATACTGAATCCTAGCAAGATAGGGATATTGTTTATCCAGAAATAACTTGGCTTGGTTCTGGGGATAGATCTGGATAGGACTGCACTTCCCCCTGAAGGAGTGGGGCTATAACTTGGGGGTTCTCCTGGACTTACAGCTCCCATTAGAGCATCAGATGAAGACCTTGCCAAAGGAGGCTTTGCCCAACTTAGGCTGGTGCACCAGTTGCAACCCTTCCTGGACTTGGAAGCCTGGGAGATAGTGACTCAGTCCTTTATTGCTATGCATTTAAATTACTGTAGCACACTTGATATGGGTCTCCCTCTGAAGATGACTCAAAAGTTATAGTTGCAGCTGTAGATACAATGGCCAAACTGTTGGCAGGGGAGACCCACAATTATAACACAGTGCCAATACCTTGGCCACCAATAGGTTTCCAAGCCAATTCCAAGTCCTGGTTTTAACCTAAGAAACCCAACATGGTACTTCTCTTAGGGGCCATGTCCTCCCAATAGATTTTTCCCATCCTGTATGGTCAACTTAGGAAGGGATGCTTAGAGTCCTAATCCCTCAAGAGGTATGGCAAACATTGACCCAAAGGATGGCCTTCGTTGTTGTAGTCCCGCTGTTTTGGAACAGCAAGGTGCAACAATGTGTACCTGACCCTCTTGGCATTGGCCTTCTGCAGGTGATTTCATTAACTGGGCTTTTGAAGCTCAGTGGTGAGGTTGGGCTACTGTATTTGGCTGTGGTTTTATTTTGCGGGTTAGAATTTTGTATGGGTTAGGTCAGGTAAAGACTTAGCAAATGCATTCCCAAAAAGTGATAGCTTGACTCCTATGGAAACCCAGTCCATTTGATTGACTTATAATTTAATGAATTTTACAAACCCAGAACATGGGTTATTTCAGTAGCTACACTAAACATAAGTCTAAGTGCAGCCACTATGTGACAGCTGGAACAGAACTCTCGAATTTCTTAGCCAGCATTTTCTGGAAAGGTGGTCAAGACTAGATTGGAAAAAATTGAATGTCCTCATTGTTAACTGAAAAAGAAGAAACAAGAAGGTCTATATGTGTACATGGAGGATTAGTCCATGTAGGATTCTTGCTACAGACCTGAGGTAAGAATCCTATATCCACCTCCATGTTGCTGCTCTCTAAGGCACCGTATAGCCATTCCATATCTACATTGAGAGACCTGTTGAAAAAAATTGGCATCATTAGAAACGTGAAAGCTGTATTCAGAAAGACCAGAAACTTTCATTCATATGAAACAGGGTACACATGAGAAAGGGAAGAGGGCAATTACCAGACACAGTATTCAGAAATATATGGAATACACTGACAGCAAGACAAGCTCCCGTTAAGTAAATTGTTGCAACTTGCCTGAAAGGCTAACAGTCATGTGGATATTCCAGAATCTGATCCCTCCCCAAACTTCATCTTCTTTTGGCAAAATGTCAGTGCCAAAGCACATGCTCTACAGACAGGAAGTTCCAGGCTTATCTCCTGGCAACCCCTGGTGGGACTGGAAACATTCTTGACTGACATAGACAGCACCACTGCCAATGTTGATAAGACCACTCAGTTGCCTGACTGAGTGGCTAGCTTCACACCACATGCTACCATAATGTGGTTTATTTGATTTTGGCTTAGCACATGATATACATTCAGCTACTGTGTCTTTTTAAGAAAACATGACAACATAAACTATATGTTGGTCACTATAAGGCAGTGAACTCTGATCCAAAGAAGACCACAGAACAGAACCTCCTAGTTCAGTTGGGAAGTGATAATCTTTTGGCCTTAAGCTTGCTAAGAACTGAAATTAAACCAGGCCTATTCTGGATCTGAAAATAAATTACACCCAAATGCTTATTGCAAACGGTCTTAAAGTAGAAGAACGTTAATTTGTTAATGATGTATTAAGTGTGCATGCTTTGAACCTGAAGCCAACTGCAAGCTTGCTTCTTGAAATTGGAGACACTTACCTGTTATTAGGGACAAACAGCTTGAACTCTCGAACATGGGAGGAGTCCTTTGAGAGGACAATGTAGCCTGTGAATTGGGCAGGAGAAAACCAGAATGGGAAATCTGGAGGCTCATTCAGTTGGAATTCCGCATGGATTCTGAAACCAAAAAGAGCAATCAGCCAATGTAGTCCTAATGAAGCCAAGCACTTTATTCTCACAAAGCTTATCTCCCCACCCACCAAATAAAGATGGTGGCATGACTGCATTCACACAACACAGTAAGCCAGGAGAATTCTGGCTTACTATAAACGAGCAAGAATGAAGTGGCTAAACAACAGTGGAAGCTCCTTACATGATTCATTTACTGAGACATGTAAACTAGGAGCTCTGGTTTCTTTCCTATCTACGTAAGCCTGAATCAGAAGCTATGGTTGAGCTCTACATAGATACATTCTTGAATACCGGACAGACGCTTCCAATGATCCCAAACTAGGCGTGGACCATGCTACTTTGGGGCTTAGACAGCTGCACAAGCTTCCAATTTGCCTCTATGGTAAATTCCCAGCATTGTCATTGACGCTGAACAACACTGTGATTTTGACGGTGGGATTTTCTGCCCCTCATACAAACAACATTGCTGGTATTTCTCCCCTTCAAAACACAGAAGACCTTTGCCCTTCAGTAGGCTTTTTAAAGCTCTTACTCTGCACTATGTGTATTTAAAACTGATTGTGTTTTATTATTTTAATTTGCATGGAATTCCTAGTACCTGTGGGGACCCAAAATTGAATGAAAATGTTTCTATATAAAACACATAATTGCTATCCTGAGTTTTCTTTCCATTTTTAACAGTGTATTAACTATTACGCAGAGTTCAATCTTTCACTGATGAAATGTTAGCCCTCCGTTAGGCATTTTCTGAGTTATAAACTGCACTGTCTTCTTCTCATCATTCACTTAGCTTGATCTACTGTGGAGAAAGATTTACAAGCTGCAAGTGCAAATTCACTCAGTTCCAGGAGTTATAGATGAACACAGGACTTCCTGAGGAATGTGCAACAAAGCCACTGTCATCTACCAACAATTGCAAAAATGACAAGGTCATACATCTCACGCTCCTCTTGCTTAGCTATACTAGATCTGAGTGACTGAATGATGGTTCCCGCTTTCTAGGAAGTGGGAAAGTGATTGGTTCTTTAGCTCAGTGCTGTTGGCTGGACAATGACTGGCACTCTCCTGAGTATCTGGCTGGAGTTTTTGACAGACCCTTTGGAGATGCCAAGGAGTGAACTAGAGTCCATTTACATGCAAAGCAGGTTGGCCAGATACTCAGCTCAGAAGGTAATCATCAGGTGATCAATTTCACTGGCACATGAAAAGTTCCTTGCCTATCACATGGGAACGGCTTATCTGCACTAATAAGCATCAGAAGATTCAAATAATCGAAACGAGTGCATGACAATTCCTACAAGGTGTTTAGAACAACCTTTTTCCTGCTGAGGAACTCGTGGGCAAGGACAATTATTCTCAATCTGACTACCAGCAACAGAAGGCTTTTAAATACAGGGTCTTTAAATGGCATTGGGGAGGAATACCGCATCCCAACAAGTCAGTCTGTTCCAAACAAAGAAATGGGGGTGGGGGGAGACAAAAGCTAAATTTAAACTAAAATTTAACCAACTGGACCTTCTTTATAATTTATAATTACATTTTTAGACCCTTAAACATTGAAGCCTCACAGCAATTTTAATAAAGCATAAAACATGAACAGATCAAAAACTTTAAGATACTTATATCTATCTACAATGAAAAGCAATTATAATGTGTTTTTAAGGCCTTTTTAAATGCCAGCAAGGTCATCAGTTCTCCGTGTGACAGGAAAGGGATTCTACAGAACACGGATGGCCAAATTCAGCTTGGCCACAACTTTGGAAAGGGGCCAGTTCATGAAGCAAGGTCATGGAGTCACGTACATAACCTGCGCCCCGCAGAGTCTTTCCTTCAGATAGTTCTAAGCAACAGGATGAAAATGTCTCCCACCAGCTGCTGCACCCAACATGCTTCCTGCTCACACCTACCCATACATACTTGCACACCCTCCCCTCCCCTCCCCTCCCCACCCCCCAAACTGAATGCAAGCTCTCTTCTCTTGGGGGACTGTACCTGAAGGCTATCTTATAGTAGAACTCAGCAACAGCTTGAATGCAGGCCACCGCTCCCTGAGGAGCAAAACGAGTTTTCACAAATGGCCGTGGGTGGAACATACTCAAGAGCTTGTGAATGATGATCTACAGGAAAAGAGGCAGAGAGGAACGGCCAGAAAATGTCAGCCACTGAAACTATGAGCCAAGAATCACAGAATCTCAGAACTGCAAAGCATCCCTACTGCCTGCATTCTGAGATAACAATCTTGAATTTTCTTTGGTGTACTTTCCCCTTCAGATACTTGAAAAGAGCTATTAAATCTCCCCTCGCATTGTCTTTCTGCAAGAGGAAACATACGCAGTCGCCTCAATCTCTCCTCGCCAGAGAAAAAATTCCCTTCTGAGATATGGTTCAACAATTAGCACCTTAGATCTTGCTCTCTCTCCTGTTTCTTTGCTCCTTTCAATAATTTATAGTCCCTGTTACAATGAATATTTGTTATAGTAATCACAGTGTTTTGGGTCTTTAATACACCTTATCCAATATTCCAATGGGCAGCTGCCAAAGACTGGAAATTGATCTGCCCATTTGCACTGCATTTCTACTTTGTGCTCTATCGATCAGCAACATTTCTTTCAGACTGTGATTCAGAAAGTACTGCACTAAAATATCATTGCTTTCTCTCCCCCAGCTTTCCAAAGCTGTCCCCTCAAGTCAGTCTTGCAGGGATTGGATTTAATGAATCACCCTATACCCCAGTGTTTCTCAATCTCAGTGACTTTCAGTCCTGTGGACTTCACCTCCCAGAATTCCCCAGCCAGCATGTCCACAGGTCTGTGGCTGAGACTGAGAAACGCTGTTATACAAACAGAATCCAAGAATTATAGGTATTTAACTCCAGCTCCTAATAAACAGAATTAAAGGTGTACAACTACCCCTTTCATAAGAACCAACCACCTCGTCATTGTATCAAATTCAAGATAACTTTACTCAACAATTGCAAAGATGATTAAAATTCTCTGCACAAAGCCCTGGAAACGTGTTATGGAATTACTCCTAATGAGGAAGCACAACACTTACCTCCTTGCCCTTGGGAGCTGGAGGGTAGAAGCGGTTATTGGGAAGGTACCCAGTAAAGATGTTCAGTTCACTGGGAATTATCCACCAGGGGTCAGCGAGTTCCACCTTATTCTTTGGGGGAAGAAAGGCCTTGAACTGTTGGGCAAACATCATGCTGAGAGGTGAAGCAGGAGCCGTCCAGTTGCGGAGCCCAGAAAAGGCCACATGGGAAATCTGAAGAAACAAGAAGGCCTATTAATAAGCAAACCTAGTTTTTAGAGATTAGTGTTTTGAAATGTACTGTAAAAGTATCTGGAAAACTTTTCAGAATTTTCAAAGGGGCCTTCCCCCCTCCAATATGGCCCCTTTGAGATACACATACAGGTAGTCCTCAACTTACGATGGCAATTGGAACCAGAATATCCAGTGCTAAGCAATGTAGTCATAAAGCGCGATCACATCGCTTAGCGATGGCAATCCCTGCAGTCCTGGTTGCTGTCATTAACTGAATCCCATAGTCGTTAGACAAAGCAACTTTGGGTTCGGGAGGATGTGTGGGAGTGTGTGAGTGGCCGGTGCAGTGTGAGTGCAGAAGGGCTGGGGAAGGGTGCGCAGGTGAGGGAAACGTACCTCAGGGACTTGTAATCTTCCCTGCTGGCTTCCCTTTTGCCTTTCTGGGGAAGCTGGCATGGAAGGTTGCAGATGGTGATCATGTGATCGTGGGGCACTTGGCAACCGGTCATAAGTGTGAATGGGTTCCAAGCACCCAGATTACAATCACATGACTGTGGGGGTGCTGGGATGGCCACAACTTTGAGGGCTGGTTGTAAGTCTCCTTTTTCAACACTGTCGTAACTTTGAAAGGTCACTGAACGAATGGTCATAAGTCGAGGACTACTAGTAGTTTAAGAAATTATATGCCACACGTTTTTATTTTGTGGCTCTAGATTATATTTGGGACTGTAAATTCCAGTTTTCCTAGACAAATAGGCAACACAGGCAGTTACAAGTCCACCAAATTTGGAGAATTCTACACTATCCAGGAATATACCTGGACAACACGATAACTGATAAAGAGTGTATCACCAAATGCATCACTGCACCCTATATATTTGCCTAAACATGGCTAAGAAACAACCCCCAGAAGATTATTCTGAGCTTACTCTATTGTCTGCAGGATACTTCTATAAACATTTCTATAAATAGACCTAAAATGCATCACAGAAACACTCTCTAATTTGTCGCTCCTATCGCTCCTAGAAGAAACCTAGAGTTAGTAAGCCAGGAGTTTTGCTGATCTACCCAACAGTGCCTATACCACCTACCCAAAACTAAAATAAAACAAAGTGGAACAGTAACTGTTCATTTTTGCTGAACTTGTGCCAATCAGGCAGGCAGGGACCGTTAAAAAAAAGTGTGCTAAACTGTTGTTTGAAATTGCTGAGCAGATGGAGAGGCAGTCCAGACTAGCTAGAATCTAACAGATACAATCTTTCACAGTCTACTAACTTTTTAGGCTGTCCTACACCCATCTGATGCTCCCACCCCACCTTTGTAGGTTCTTACTCTTTATATTTTTTGCATGTTTCTTATACATATTCTTAGTTTTAAATTTACACATATTTTATGCCCTCTATGTATTTTTACATTTTCACCTTTTTACATCTTTTATGTATCTTTTAACATATTTTATATTTTTATTCTCCTTTTTCATGATGGCTCCAGGCCCTCTTATGCTGGTCAATGACCAGAATAAAGACCAACTGACTGAATGACTGGATTCACAGAGCCTCTTTGAATGAAACTGTCTCCCCCACATCTGTTTGCAGCTACAGTATTTTCAATAGTTGTGCTACTCACGCCAAGAAAGCCATCTTTGCTTTTTGTCATTGTGTCCATTAGCAGAGGCTGGAATTTTGCAAGGATAGAAAGAGTCTCCCCATTGGGATCTATCACCTCTTCTTCCTCAGCGCCAGACACAGGAGCAATGCCTGAATGGAGCAGCAGCAACAACAACAAAATGTTAATGTACATAAATATGGTACTGGGGACACAAGAATTCCTAAGAAATCTGCATGAAACAGGTGATGCAGAGTGGGAAAAGTGTCTCAGCAAGAATGAAGATAATACTGGTGTTGTGTTTTTATGGTATATTATATCCTTCACAGACTCAATGGTGTTTTCTATACTGTAGTCCAGTGCTTCTCAACCTTAGCTTTAAGATGTGTGGACTTCAACTCCCAGAATTTCCCAGCCAGCATGCTCCCAGATGAATTCTGGGAGTTGAAGTCCACACATCTTAAAGTTACTAAGGTTGAGAAACACTGTTGTAGTCTAATCTTAACAGTTAAGTAACATTTAGAAAAAGAATTGACATCCTTTTTAGGAATTGAATGCCACTGAACAAAATGTCTGAAATTTTCTCATCAGCAAATCTCATAAGAGTCATTCATTCATTCATTCATTCATTCGTTCGTTCATTCATTCATTCATTCATTCATACAGATGCCCATCTCAGACCAGTGACTCTGGGTAGCTAACAATAATAAAAACAGGCAACACTTAAAACAGTACAGAAAATTAAATATAAATATAAATAAAGCCAAGAGATCTTAAAAAAATGTCGGTATCAGCACAACCATGAAACGGGGCCCTTTGCACACTCAGGGCCCCAGGCCCGGGCATAAAGCCAGGTTTTCAAGGCCTTCTGAGAAGCCAAGAGTCAGGGCCATCCTAATTTCAGCAGGGAGGATGTTCCAGAGGGCAGGCGCCACAGTGGAAAAGGCACGTCTCCTGGTCCCCACCAGCTGACATTCCTTGGCTGACAGAACCTGGAACATGCCCATCCTGCTGGACTGGACTGGACGGGTAGAAACAACTGGGAAAACACGGTCCCTCAGGTAACCCGTTTTCAGTAATTCCATTCCTAAAACTTAATTCAAAAATACTGCGACCCTAAAAGATTTATTCTCATTCCCTTTCTCCTACTGAGTTACTACTTTCTTTAGCAAAATAAATGTATTATGTACAATAACTCACTGCTGCACCACAGTGCAGCTGATCGATATATACTCTGTCACAGGAAATTTGCAATAGCAGCTATTACCCAATCTAGAATGGCTGAAATGTATATATAATTCACCTAGATAGCATCCTTTATGTGAGAGGACGGGTACAAAGGATTATGTGTTATTGTTATTCCTTCTATCTGCTTTTTCTAGGCTTTACCAAGGTACTGGTACCAATGCTGAGAAATGTTGTTCCAAGTCTTTTAAACTGCGAGGCTCTTAAAAATTACACTAACTGCACTCATGAACATACTGATTCATTAAACTTGTTTTACCATTAACTACCAAAATTCCTGTGACAGATTACAATAAAAATATTAAAGCTAAAATTAATGCTACAGGTATTAACATTAACTATTAAAATAAAAACAAGGAAAGTAAGCAGGTAAGCCTACTCAAAAAGCCAACAAAATGTTAATCTCAATTCGGCAGGTGTGCATTCCAAAGAATTGAGGCCACTACCAAAAAAGCTTGCTTCAAATTATGACGACTGCCCTTTCTCAATTTGCAATATAATAAAACTATATTTACCCTGTCATGACAGAACCACCAGAAGCACACAATGCATTGCATGTAGTACATATGGATTGCAAACTATGCATTTGGGAAGCTATCACCTTACACTGTCACAACCACCACCATGAAGCCTGGAATTATATACAAAAGGAGATCCAGAGCTCAACAATTCTACCTCCATGCACCAGGTGGCAGCAACAGACCATCAATAATTGGCATAGGTGCTTCAGATGGATTGCAAAATTATTACTGCTCCACAGTAAGAGGAGCTGTTGGAGCAAAGATGGTCACCCAAAGGCCTAAGGACTTCTTCCTACCTCTTCTATGATTCCAGCTAAGTGAGCCCCTTCCACCTTGCCCCACATCAAGATGAAAGATGGTAATTATTTGGTATGAGAGGGGATTCACTGAGGACCATTCCCTCCAAAGTATGCAAAGAAGTGGGTAGTGTCAGCACAAAAATTAAATTAACTGAATGTAAAAGTAATTAAAATGGAATCAATTAATGAAATACCAGTAAATGATTATTCTCAGGTAGTTCATAATTCTGTTAATAATCTTTACAGGAACTTCTGGAGGCCCTGGAGGTCACCCCCAAGGGTTTGCAGGAAGGAGAAGGTCTCAGGTTGTGCACTCCTGATTTGTGGCTTACAATGTATGCGAAACAAGCCACTATAGTTTGCTCAGCAAGTTATGATTAAAAGAAGTCACAACTGAGCATAGTGTCTGAATCCAGCCAAAATGAGAAGGAGGCTATTCCATGACCAGGGAGGCTGGTAAGGTTTTGATTCTCAGGCTAGAGAGGCTGGTGACCACTGTGCTAGGGCAGTACAAGATTTCTAAGAAGAAAACAGCCGAAAAGATTACAGACCCTTTCTAGTTTCCCAGTCAGCTTGATCTCCCTACAGATATGCAAAGGATAAGCATAGGCCACACCCTTCCTTCCTGTAAGAGCAACCAGATGCATTGCCCAAGCAGATATATCAGCAAGACAGTCATAAGTAATCTGTAGATAGAAATCTTGCCATTTTTATGCTGTATGCAGAGATTTTTGAGAACAGAGCAGCCCACTTGCATCTCACCATAGATAGCTCTTTGATCACATGACAGCAGAGCTGTGTCTGAATCCCTTTTAAGCCCTAGCCAAAGCCATCGTGTACAATTTTGCAAGTCCGACAATGGGAATGGCAGCTTTACAAAAAATTGTCCTTGGTGAGAACAGCATCTGGCACATAATCCTTTCAGAAAACACAGAGAGCTCATTGCTTTGTATATCAAACTGAGCTGAGGAAAAAGCTGTGGGCAATTCTCTCACACACACATGTACATGCGCATATAAGGATTGTCAGTTTTTATGTATGCATGATGGGTTTACAAGAAGTATTTTCCCCAAAAGACACCAAAAGGCAGGTCATTCATATATCCAAAATTCAAGATGGAATATTTTTTTACAGTCCCTGAAAAAATCATGAGCTTTTATGGGCCACCATGCAGCTCCTGGTACCTAATCCAGCTGCACTAGCTACTTTATGGTAAGGCTGCTGCAGAAGAAAAGTGGCCATTTGCCAAGAAATGAAAAGAGAACAAGGTAAGCTGGGATAACAGGAAACATACTGGGCCAATGAGTGTTTTGTGATTATTATGGCAGCCATGGTGAGAATAGTCCCCTCAGGGAAGCCATTTTGAGAAAGCACCCACCACATGTTCTCAAAAATCTGAATTTTTTAAGGGCAGGTGACAACATCACCACTACTGAAAAAATAAAATCAGTGGGAGAAATCCCTCCTGGGGGATCTTTCCTTGTGAATTAATGGAAGTACTGTACAGGAAATCAGGGAAGCTATAGAAAACATGAGATCATTTTACAATGAAAGACAAGTCATTCCCACATACAGACACTCTTTAGCCACTTCATAACTAAGTAAGTACAAAAACAGCACACTTAAGCCATGAGTCAAAAACAGTGTAAAATGTCTTTGCAGGGCACCAATATTTAATAATTATTTGTGTTCTCAAATACTTACCGGTCAGTTTCTCTGCAATTGGCTTGAATTCCTCAGGACTGATGTACAAATCATTGTTAGTATCCAGGGAAGAGAAGAGGAAAAGACCCTCATTCCCCAGAGATTTCAGGGCTGTTTCCTAAGTAGGAAGGAACAGGGATTCTTTAAGACATACATTCATGAAATAAAGAAGTTCAAATTAACCACCTGTCCCATCACCCTAGCTGGTTACTTGGTATGCAGCTGGGCAGGTAAGAAGCTCCTCTTTCAGACAAATGAAATGAGCAGACAGATCATTACATCAAAATAGACAGAATGCAGAGGAGCTGGAAGCAGATTTCCCAATTTGGTATTGTAACCTTAAAAAAACTCCATGAGGGAAAGGGCTCAATTTTGATGGAAGCAATCAGAGATGCTGAAAGAAAGTATGCTTCTTCATGCTGTAGTTGTAGACTAGACTGGAAAAGAAACTGCAAACCACTTCTGTAATAGTGCCAAGAAAACTGCATTGATGCAGCATAGCTCAACTTGATATCTACTCTTTTAATAGATTTTTAAATACCCCATCTGCAAGCCAGCCTTCCCCTACCTGGAACCCTCCAGTTGTGTTAGACTTCATCTCTGAATATTATGGTAGTTGGTCCAATACACTGAAAGAACACCAGTTTGAAGAAGGTAGCCCCATTAGCCCTGCTTGTGAAAAATACATGTGTCATCTTCCTTTTCCTTTCTGGCACAGAGAACAAAAATCTTCACCCAGCAGGACTAACATCACAGGAGTGAATTATGTCAGGAAAATGTGAAGAGAAGAAAGAACTAATTTCCTCTTTCATTTTCACTCTTCTAAGGCAAAGCCTTCTCATACTAACTTTTCAGAAAATAGACTCCAAACTGGAGATTCATGATTGCGTGGCACCTGTTTTAGTCTTGAGGAGGGGCAAACTATAAATAGGCTGATGTGCTATAGAAGCCAAGTTTACATGATGAGATCTAAAGATAATTACCTCCCTGCCATTTGCTAGAATAGCAGGCATAAAAAGTTTATGGCTGTTACCAAATTTGCCTAGCAAGTGCACTTAACTGAAGAGAACTTACTTTCATAACTGCATTTAGAACTGAACTGGAAAGCAAGCAAGAAGACACTGACCCCCTCCTTTTGTCAAAAGGTTTACTGTTCACAAGGAATTTGGGCCCTTCAGGTAGCTCTCGGGCCTGAGGTTATGGTTAGTGAACCATGGATATTTATTTGTGCTCCGATAGCAGAGATTACGTAATCAACCAAGTACATGGCCAGGGAAATTATATGTACAAGGTTCTAAAATATGGCAGAAGACATTTCCAAATTAAAGCAATGCTCCCCCTGCAAATACAGAAGGTGTAGGAGCTCTGGAGCAGCTTTTCAGGCTGCCTAATTTCAACAGAACCTGATTGGATTATACCTGTCCAGCAATGGAACATTCTTAGTTGGCTCCACTGTAATTGATATTCCGCTCTCTCTGTGGGGTTTGTATATTTTAAAATCTAAATTTTTTAAAATCTGTGATAATGTTTTTATTTTAATCATAATTTTTTATCGTTTTATAATGCTTGTTTTTTTATTTAATTGTTGTATGCTGCCCAGAGTCGCTTTGTGTGAGATGGGCAGCTATATAAATGTGACATATAAATAAAATAAAATAAATAAAATAAAATAAAATAAACATGGCTGAAGCCACAGATGTAAAAATGGAAGAGGGTTAACATCTCAAGAAATGTACTGCAAAACAAAAAACAAAAAAACCCCAATTCTGTTAACTTATCCCAATATTGTCACTTCAGTAAAGTCGTACCAGTGGGCAACTTACAGCTCATGAGCCACAAGGGTCCCCCCTCAATCATTTCTATGTCTCTGTGAACCATCCAAGACCAAGCTGCCAAAATTCAGCAGTAAAACACTGATTTTCTGCAGCACAATTTTTAGGATGCAGACCCACACATAATATATATTACCCTATATTTATACACACACATATTTTATATATACACAGACATATACAGATAGAGAACATGTCTCATGTTCCTTCATGATCTGTTTTGAGAATATTTCCTATCCTAAAAGGCATTTACTTTATAAATAAATAAAAACAGACAATTAATTTGAATTTTTTATCGGCACAATTAACTGCTAATGGACTGTTGAAGTTATACTGGCATATATTATCATTCTGTGTGATGCAATACAATGCACTCTCCCTGTATTTATCCGACTGTCACTTTATTTCTGGTGAATTGTTTTGACACAAGCTAAGAATAAACTGGTCACCATACAAAAGAGGAGGAATCTGTATTATAACAAGTCAAACTCTTGGCAGTGTTTTCTGTGGTACGGGGACTTCAGTATAATTTCATAAAGCCCTTGGCCTACCTTCACAACCCTTCAGCAAATGAGAGAGGGAGAGAGGGAGGGGGGATAGGGAGAGAGAATACCCCTTCCAACACATTTCTCTTGAGGGAATGTAGCCCTAGAATGAAAAGGTTGCCCACCTCTGGATTTTCCCAGCCCGCTTGGGTATGGATGGAATCAAACCTGCAACTGTCTATATGCAAAGCTTGTGCTCTACCACTGACCTACAACTGGTCTCCTCAAATGCTTGCAAAACCTCTATAGAGGAAGCTGCTTTGTATGCAGTGAGATTATTGGCCCCCAAACACAGTCTATCTCATGACTGAGATGCAGCAGCTGTTATAAAAATCACAGCTATATTCCCACACCAGCTCCCATTAATTTCTATGAGTCACTTAAGGCAAATGCCCCCAATGGATTGCGTCCACAGCACACATTCCTTCTAACTAAGCTCATTACTGCCTGGATGGCAAAAAATTGCTTAATTCGGGCTGTGTTTTGGAGATGTTAAGAGTACGGGAGACATGGGTAAATCTTTAGATTAGAAGGAAGGAACTGTACAGTTTTTGGACTTCAACTGAGGGTGATGGATGTTGGAGTCCAACAGTATCTAGTCCAACAAAGAGCTTGGCAACTTTAAGATGTTGTGGACTTCAATTCCCAGGATTCCCCAGCCAGCATAGCTGACTGGGGAATCCTGGGAGTTGAAGTCCACCCATCTTAATGTTGCCAAGGTTGAAAAACACTGGTCTATGTGCTAGCAATCCCAAATAAGCTTGGAGGGGGCTAGTTTAAACTTTTCTCTGTTATCTATTATGGAGTGCAGGCAGGCCACCTCCATCTCCCTAGTGTGATGTGGCTTCTTCCCTCCGTAGGCCTCCATGCTGCCCGCCACCCCATTAATGTTCCCACAGCTCTGAAGTGCATTTATTTTCCATCTGCTCTCTGCCAACCTAAAAGGATGCTAACGCTGCCTGAAAGCTGCTGCTGTTGTCAATTACGGCCAGGAAAGCACTTAAGTGCCTTGCAGGGCTGATTCAAAAGTAGAAATAGGTTGGCAATGGATCCACAGCTAGGCCTCAGAAGAGATGAAAGCTAAGGAGCTACAAAACCCTGACATCACTAAGCACTTAAGGCCAGGACATTATTTTAGTGGCACTAGCCCAAGGCTATTTGAAATGCAGTGAGGTACAACCAGTTATCTGTTTGACTGAGCAATGCCATTAAAATGCCTACAAGTATAATAATGTTATTCAGCAAGTGGGGATGTTGATTTCCCAAATAGGTTTTTTTCCCCCAGAGTATTCCCACTACCTGCAAAATGGCAAGCATCAAAACCTGGAATCTGCAGGCACATCAAGGAGACTTAGAAATAAACAAAATAAAAGCATTATTTCTCTCTAGTCCTAGTAATCTGCATCAGTCTGCATCCATATGTTTGCAAAGAGGCCTCACAAGTTTTACCAGAAGAGTGGGCAGCTTCTGGTTATTAATAAGTGGGGTTCACTTTTAACAGATTATGTAAATGTTAGATCATTTATACAATTCTGCATATTTTTTTCCAGTCTCCTTAATGAATACACACATATGTGCAGGCATACACACTCCAGCCTTAGAAAGGTGTTGGATCTACATCAGAAGTACCAACTGTGCCTATCTTCAGCAAAAATGGATGTTTCTTGTTCCCCATCTCCAGCCTAGTAGTCAGGGAGAAATAACCCTACTGCAGGTTTAGTGGCCTGCAAATTCAGCCACAGATACAGTTCAACAGCTTGGCCACACAGCATGATTTTGCATGAAGATCCTAGTTCAGTCCCCTGGCCTCTCCTGATACACCAAGAAAGACTCCTCAAAAGTATTACTCAACAATCACAGGACTCGCTCTCCAAAAGCATTTATTTATCAGCTTTGTGCGCCCCTCCAGTCTCCGAGGGACTTACAACCTGCTACAATAAGAGGACTAAAAATCTTACAAAAGCAATAAGAGTGGAAGATAACCATAACATACTATTCCAACTATAACACAAAAAGGCATGGATATCTTGGGGTGGGGGCGGGGGGTTATTCTGCACTCCATTTTGTTTCCAAATGACTTCTGGAAGAGTCAGGGACTGAAATGGGTAAAGTCAGGACAAAAAACTAGAAGTGAGTTTATATTAGTTCTATTTAGGAATTAGTTTAGTGAGGGTGCTCAAAAGTTATTTATCCCCTGCCCCTCCATTCCAGATCCTCCTTTAAAATAATCTAGGGCTGCAAGGAATCTCAACATGTGTGAAGTGCTTCCTTTTCTCTGTCCTGAAATGCCCAACTCTTCAGTTTTATTGTGCCATGAACAGCAGATACACAATGAAAACAATTCTATTAATGCTGCTGAGCCTGAACTAACAATTCCTGCACAGAATTTATTTATTTAAAAGACTTATATGGCCACCCATCTTATGTACATAACCCTGGGCGGCTCACAAAAACAGTAATAAAAACATAAAACATCCTTCGAAAACTCCCAGCACCCCAAGAACAAACACTCCTCCAAACATCAACACTCACATCACATTTCTATGTATAATTATTTCTAGTAAAAAAACACTTCTGAGTTTTATGGGGCTTATTTCCCCAAACAGTACAAGCCTGTGCCAATTTTTATACAGCTCTTTAGTTGGGAGATACGCCCTCCAAACTCAACAGGACATTGACTGATTGATTATGTGTCATCAAATTGGTGTCCGATCC